CCCCCCACGGCCATTCGCCCGCGGGTCGAGCAGGGCCAGAGCCAGACCATGGGGACCCAGCCCTGGGTGGAGGCGGTGGGAGCAGCCCCCAGGGACGAGGAGCGCTGGTGCCAGGGTCACCAAACCGTTAAAAAGCCAAGATTTTCCGAGTCAGTCAGTAGAACGTGATGAAAATGCAGTGACTGTTGGCAGCAGTTGGCTTGGGAGCGGTGTTGGGGGAAACCCTGCACCAAGGTCCCAGCAGGGTTTCGGGCATGATGCTGTCTGCAGGACCCAGGGCTCTGTAGCCCATGGACCCACACGATGCTGTTGACTCTCCCCACCACCCCGTTCAGGTGCTGCTCACTCTGCTTGAGGGTGCTGTGTCGGTTCTTGCCGTTTGGATGAGACCCCAACACAGGACGCCCAGGCAGTGCCTGCACCCAGGGCTGGCCACCATCAGCCACAGCCCTGCTGTCAGTCTGGTGCTGCAGGACATGTTTAATGCACCATGCCAAGCTGGGGAGGAGGAGGAAGAGGAGGGTGCCATAGTTTCTCTCCCGTGACGGGGACATGGCTCCCAGCAGCTGTGCTAGAGGCGTGCAGCACAGCAGCCTGCTTATCGACACAGCATGTTTTCCTCCCAGACAAGTACTCTGGCAGCAATCAAAGGACAGCCGAAAATCTGGCCAAGGTTCATTGTCAAAGGTCCCACTTCCCCCAAATCATGGCACAAATTCACGCTTACATGGACACTTTTGTGAGCGGTCCCAGGAACGAGGCAGCACTGGGAAAAATGACCCAAAATTGGGAGTGAGGAAACCCTCGGCAGAGTGCAGGGATGCTGTCCCATGCCAGGTAGGGGTGCACAGCCCTGACACAGAGCTGGGACCCAGCATCAGAGTGGGAACAGCACCCACCTGCCTGCACCCGAGGCTGGGATCTGCAGTGAGCAAGAGGATTTGGGGAAAGCACCACTTCAAGAGCCCACAGGGCTGCAGCAGTCCCACAGGGGTGTTCTGGAGGGCTGTTAGACTTGGTCCCTAGGCAGCCGGTGCAGTGTGCCTCATGTCCCCACATCCCGACCCCATGCACGCTGCTGGGGAGCGGGTCCCACGTGCGCCAGGGCTGTGGGCTGTCCTCTGCGAGGCCTGGGTGCAGCCGGGCAGAAGATGCCCGGGCAGGCGTCATCCTGTGGCTGATGCACCATGACGGGGTGACCCTCGCAGAATAGGCCACGCGGGGGCTGTTTTCTTAAGACTTCCTTGTTTATAGCCTTTTCTGTATAAATAGGACATACGGTTCCTGTTTAAGGAAGCCGTTTAAACGGCAGAGCGCGGTATAATGTTACAACCCCGCACAAAGGCAGGCAGCTGCCCCAGCTGTTGCGCAGCGAGACGCACGCAGCACCCAGAAAGGGGCACCCCATCTTCCCCTATCCCAGCACCCGCTCGCACCTTGGCCCGAGGCGAGATGATTTTTCTGTTGCTGTGGCCCTTCCCTGCGGATGGCGCTGACTGCGGGTGGGATCACAGCATGGCATCGGGATGAGCTGTGATGGTCGCTGCGTGGTTGGGGATTGGGGTATTGGTGAGAATGGGGCACCCCAGACAGGTGCTCACATTGGGCTCCCATGGGGCACACAGGGACCTGGTGCGGGGTTCCCACAGGGATGTGTGTGCACACCAGGACTTCGTGCAGCGCTGTGCACATGGAGGGATGGAGCTCACGGCAGGGACAGCACCAGTGCGGGTGCCCAGAGCTGCCCCTGTGTGCAGAGGGGCTGACAGTTCCTCGCTGGGCTGTGAATCCTCCTGTCTGTTTGCACAAGCACTGGTGTGGGATGGTCAGGGGGCCCAGGGAGGTGTGGAAGCCTGGAGAGGTGGTGTTTGTGGAGGGGGTCCCGCTCTCTGCCTGCTGCTCCCTGCCGAGAGTGTGATGAGATCCTGTTGGATTTACAGCCCTTTGGGCTGCCTGGTGTTTTTCTCTCAGGCAGCTCGACCTTGTTTCCCTTTGAAAGCGAGAGGCTTTTTTTGAAATGCAAAATGCAGGAGGTTTTGCTGCAGCTTTGGGAAGAGAAGGAATCCCCCGGCCCCCTCTGTGAGGGGCCAGGGGTCCCTGCCAGGCGGGCAGTGCAGTGCCCGGGTGCCACTGGTGCATTTGGGTGCAGGAAGGATGGCACTGGTGGGTGCTGCCCATGGGCAGACATGGGCCCCGTGGGCCTCTGCCCTTTCCCACGCTGCGCCATGCTCTGGGGAGACGGGAGACCCAGAGCTCAGGCGTTTCCCAGGGAGGATGGGAGAGCCAGGGCTCAGGCATTTCCCAGCTCTGCCACCGCGGTTTCCCAGGGCGAGCTGGAGTCCCCATGGACACAGCCCTGTCCCTGCAGGGTCACAGCGCTCCCTCTCCCCTTTTCCCACCCTCCCGGTGCTTGGACCAGAAGCATTCCCTGTACAGGGCACCCAGCACAGCCCGGCCCTGCTCCCCCAGCTCAGATGTCGCCCACGGGTGCAGGGCCAATGGCAGGGGTTGAGGGGGATGCAGCTAAGCCACAGCCTTGTTCCCGAGCACAACAAGGGGAGAACAGTTCCTAATCTGCAGAAACCAGCAGAAAAGCACCCTGGACTCCGTCGCGTGAGTCAGGGCCATGTGTGGAAACAAGGGACTCCTTGAGCTTGTGCCCCGGGCCATTGCAGGGGTCTGAAGGAGCCGAGGTGGCTGCGTGTCACCACGAACAACGGACCCTGTGTGGGCTCGGGGCTGTGGGCATAGGGGAACAGAGGCGCTTCTGGCTCTCACCACCATCCCTGTTTACTCGGGTCTCGCTGGAGGCTGGGAAACAGCTACAGAAATGGGACCAAAGTACCTGGGCCATGAGATGCTCTGATGGCCATGGGGGCAAGCGGTTGCCTGGGTTTAGGGCAGTGGGACAAGGCCAGATGATGCCCCACACTCCTTGGAGCATGGTTGGGAGCCCCAGGGGTGGTAGAAGACCTTGGGACTACATGCTCACCGCCGGCTCTCCACCACATGTCCCCGCAGGCGCTGGGTGAGGCAGAGCAGGTCCGGATGACCTCTGAGGGCTCCGACTGCCGCTGCAAGTGCATCCTGCGGCCACTCAGCAAGGACGCCTGCAGCCGCGTCAGGAGCGGCAGTGCACGTGTGGAGGACTTCTACACGGTGGAGACGGTGAGCTCGGGGGCTGACTGCAAGTGCTCCTGCACTGCACCCCCCTCCTCGCTCAACCCCTGCGAGAATGAGTGGAAGATGGAGAAGCTGAAGAAGCAGGCACCCGAGCTCTTCAAGGTATCTTCAAGCGTGGTGGGACCGTGGGGTGGGGCTGGAGACATGCAGGAGCCCATCCCTGGCAGACCACAGGGCGATGGAGCAGCGTGTTCTGGCCATGAGCGGGGATGGGGATGCGTGGAGGCGGCCACACAGCCCTGCCCCGTGGCCCAGACCTGCTCTCCCCCTGCAGCTGCAGTCCATGGTGGACCTGCTGGAGGGGACACTCTACAGCATGGACCTGATGAAGGTGCACTCCTACATCAGCAAGGTGGTGGCACAGATGAACACGCTGGAGGAGGTGAGTCGGCCCCAGCGGGCACTGTCCCCACAGCAGGCCCTGTCCTGAAGGGCCGTGGGCTCCCTAAACAGGGCTCTCCACCTCTCCTCTCCTCCAGACCATCAAGACCAACCTGAGCAGAGAGAACAACTTCATGAAGGAGAGCGTCCTGCACCTCACCGATCAGATGAGACGCTACGAGAACTACTCTGACATCATGATCAGCATCAAGAAGGAGATCTCCAACCTGGGCTACCAGCTGCTGCAGAAGGATGCTGCTGCTGTCCCCGACAGCAAGGCACAGGTACCCTCCAGGGCCAAGCCCAGCTCCTCCGGGCTTGTGGCAGGTCCTGGCAGTTCTGTATAGGGGTGTACTGTGCCAGCAGCCAAGGAGACCCTTGCACCTGCGGTCTGCTATGGCAGCGGAGGGGATGGGAAGGGAGGAGGTCTGACAGGCTGTGCCCCCCAGGACACGGCAGGCAGCCGAGAGAGGGAGGTGGGACGGTACCCCAGCACCCGCAAGGCACTGGGGGACCGGGCAGCCCCCCGAGCACCCAAGGAGAAGCAGCTGAAGCCCGAGAAGCCCAAAAAGGACAACGCGAAGGCCAAGGGGGTGTCACAGCCCACACCCAAGCCCAAGCCATCGGCGCACCAGCAAACCGTGGTCCGGGGCATCACGTACTACAAGGCCGGGCAGGCAGGGGTGGAGGGGCCAGGCGGGGGCCGTGGTGAGTTCCTGGGATGGGGACGGGGTGTGGAGGACTGGGGCTGCTCCCCCCAATGCACCAACCCCCAGCTCATGCCCTGCAGAGACCCCCACGAGGG